GTCAGCTACAAATCGGACATCTACCACACACACACACACACACACACACACACACACACACACACACACGGGGACAGTTACAGAAGAGGGGATGGAAAGTTTATAAAAGCCAGAGGTCAGGGAGGGACGGAGCAAAGCGGTGTCTTTTGGACACGGCAAGACCTCCGCACTCACGAACTCAGAGCACTGTGGGTGCCGGTCAACCTTCCAGCATGGAGTAGGGAGGGACTCATACGCCCCCAGCCTTAGCTGATGAGGCTATTGATAACTGATGGCCTCTGGGGAGAGGGAGAGTCAGTTTTCTTCACAGGTATGGCCCCTGGTGGGCCCACCATGCTCTCCGGTGGGCCTACACACCAGTGAATGTATAGACAACACAAATTGGACTAGCAGGATTTAAAGCAAGATGGAAGGGAGGAGTTGGAGAGGTGGATCTGGGGAGAGGTAAAAAGGGTAGTGGGAACAAGTACAATCAAAATACAGTATATGAAATTCTCGATAATTAATAATCTTGTGAATGTTATCATTCTCCAAGAGAATGAGTTTGAGAAGGGTTCTCGGGGATATCTGCGCTGCTGAGGACAACCGGGTATGGAGAGAAACTCTAGGTATGTGGAGCAGCCCCTGGTTCCACGTTCCTATCACTTCTCCTGCCCCCTGCTCCCCATCGTCAGCAAAAACACGGGAGCCCTGTCTGTACCCAGCTACCTCCTCCTTGAGGGGAGGAGGCTGGCTAGCAGAGACAATGATGGATCAGAGGACTATAACATCTGCTGCCCTTCACAAGCTTAAAATTAGATGAAGAGATACTCGTAACTTTTTTTTTAATGCAATGAAAATCGGAGTGCAGAGCGTGGAGCGAGATTCTCAGACCTGAGCTCTGTAAGGAGGCGATCCGCAGGCTCTGAGACAGTAAGGCACGTCTGATCTGAGGTGGCAGCCACGGAAAAGATTAACCACAGCAGTGGGAGCAGCTGGGAGTACAGCTGTCATCCCGAGGAACGTGCAGTTTGTTGAAAGCTGCTCCAACTGTCTGCGGAGCCCGGGGCACTGAGCGGAGCCACACCCAAGGAAGGCCGGAGTTAGGAGCGGGGCGATGCTGCCCCCTAGCGGTCAGCCCAGAAGAGTCATAGTATTGGAGGCTCGAGGCAGGGCGTCTCTGGCTTCCTTGAGGTTGGTGTTCATGGCCTGGAGCCCTGCGGGAAGTCTAGAGCTTGTCCCTGATTTGAGGTTCAGACAAGTACAGAGAATCCCACTCAGAGAAAGCGTAATCGTGGGACCAAGGGAGAACAACCCAGCGCACTGGATGTCTGGCTGAGAAGTCCAGCAGGAGGCCAGCCTGACGATCGCTCTCCCCACAGGCTCTAAGGATGCCTGAGGATTCACAGAAAAGACACGGCCACCTGGCCTGAGCGTGCTCCGCAGGAAGCAGGGCTGAGCGCAGCCTAAAGTGAGGCCCTGCAGCCGAGCACAGAGGACGAGTACAGGACTGCAGGACATACTTGACACACGTGCGTCGGGTCATTTATCCTGGAGTGTGGTGCTGCCATACTGCTCACAAACAAGAGAATTCAATAACTAGAAAGATTTCCAGTTTCCCCGGCTTGTAACTTAATGAATGGCAACGCCAGGCAGTGGCCCCATTTCCTCCCTCGATGGAACAGAAGGAACTCACACCCGGGTGCATTCTAATAGTGAAAATAAGTTAGAGCAATTAGGAGTCTAACGACTAAAAAGTATAGCTGAAATATGCCTGGGGTTTGCGTAACAACCTACAGTGCAATTACCTACCGCTTCTTAAAACTTGAAGCCTAAGGTGCCCCAGAAGGTTCCAAAGCAAAATGTCTCCAAGCCCCCCACCCTGATTTCAGGTTTGCTTCCATTACCCTCTGTGTCTACTGTGTAGGGTATTAAATAGCCCCTGGACAAGTAGATAAATTCTTAGTCTAGATCAGGGAAGGGAAGACACCTTCCCTAGAAGCCAAAAGAAAATCATCTATTTTTTTTTCTAATATGAGTTTAATTTTTAAAAATTTGTGGAGATCAATTCAAGTAGCCAACCTATATAGAAATTTGGAAAGGAGAGTGCAAATGTTATAAATTATTTTATTTATTCACTGAGGTGCTAAATGTTCCTGAACTGCATAACTCAGGTTTCATGCTAAACATGATTGTTAAACATCCTCCATACCTTCCTTACAGCCAATTACATTTTGAGTTTATAGCATCCTTTTTGCTCTAGTTCTTGTTTGTTTCTCTGTGTAACAAGGTTACACAGGTTTCTCTGTGTAACACCCAACTGTCCTGGACTCACTCACTTTGTAGAACAGGCTGGCCTATAACTCACAGAGATCTACATGCCTTTTCCTCCCAAGTCCCGGGATTAAAGGCATATGCTGCCACACCCAGGTATAGCATCGTTCTTAACTCCAGTGTTCTAACTAACTAAAGGAAATCCAAAGTATAAGCTATATAGCATGTGCAAAACCCACGTTGGATCTGTGCAGTTTGCCAAACAAGTTTTGTTACTGTCTTTCTTAATTTAATATAATCAGAAATTTTGGAAAAATATACATCAGCAAGATGCACTGCTAATAATGACATCACTCCAGAGCAGTGTCCTATAGTGACTGCTGGGAAATACACCATTTCCATCGTCTTCTTCCTAGAAGACTGTTTTGTATTCAATTTATCTCATTATTTTTAAAAAAATACTAAAAATCTAGTAATGTATACACCTCTACCATGAAAGCTTTTCAAAACATTTTTCCCTTGACTACTCTATTTTTTATTATTCTTTTATATTTATTTCAGGTGTGTGAATGTGCACAAAGTGAGTGGCTGGGAATTACGGATAACTTTTAGCTACTATGTGGGTGCTGAATGAAACCCAGGTTCTCCGGAAGAGCAACAAATGCTCTTAACTGCTGTGTCATCTCTCCAGCGCCGTGACTACTTTATGAACGGGATCCTGAAGCATTACCAAGTAAACTGAGCTCCAAAAAGAAAGGTATAGACCATGGCACATTCATGCCATAGAATGCTATTCAATTATACGTTCTTATTAATTGTAAGTTAGCACAGGAAATAATGACACAGAATCTTCACACCATGCTATTTCCTGTTCCCCCTAGTTCCTCACTGTGTCTACACACACACACACACACACACACACACACACACACACACACACACATTCTAGAAGTGAAGTCTCCTAAAGGGAACACAAGATTTACATATGACTCCAGAGAAGAAAGCCTGAAGGAAAAACCCAACCCCGAAAAGTTACATCCTATATGATCAAAGCTTCATATAAATAGATGAAAGACTAAACTGTAAACCTGGAGAACCAATCAGAGGTGACCAGGGGCTGAGAGGGCTTTGGTGACAGAAGGTCATGCATGGGCATGGCACTTGCCCTGTATCCCGAAGCATCAGTGTCAAAACCCCAGCTCCGACACTGGCTAATTCTTTTGCAAGATTTCATCACTGGGGGAATATGGATAAAATTAACACAAGCTCTCTCACTTTTATGTAGTACAACTATATATGAATGCACAGCTTTCTCAAAACCAAGAGTAAACCTGTCAAGAAAGTTATAGAAACCTTTAGGTATTTGTAGTGGTTTCAGAAGTTGGGGTCATGAATTGCCTTTAAATATTTATTTAAACCGCCATGGTTCAAAGGTTGAAATAAACGAGAATATGTTAAAGAAGCCCCTTTGCACATGGGTCAACACCCTGCCCAGCTTCACTGACGAGGCCCTGTGATGCAGGTCTCGCCATGAATTAGCACATTGACGCTAATGCTCATGTTTGGAGGCTCAGACTGATCTATGTTGTACAGAGACTGCTGGCGCTGAAAGGGTTAACAGCCTTTCTCCCATCACACAGTTGGGGGCTGTTGGGTCTGCATCCAAGCGTGTGTGGATTTGGATATTTTCCATTAGCAGCCCTGGTGGTCACTGGAGAAACAGCCATGGGGCTAGGGTATAGCTCAGATGTAGTTCTGGTCTACCATGCAAGAGGTGCTGGGATCTGGTTGCAGGAGGGGGAGGAGGGTGATGGAGATACGCCAACTCTGTGACCAAGAAAATGTTTTCTCCATGCTGTGAAACACAGTCATGGAGCCACTGATGACATTTGAATAACTCCCATTGATCAGCTAGAAATATGTCGATTCCCTGCTTTTCAGAATTCATGTATGTGTGTGTAGATGTATCTGTCTGCGTGTGTACAGGTGCGCTTGAGGCAGACTTGTAGGTGTGCACACGTGTGTGGAAGCCAGAGGTCAGTCTTAGGTGACATTCCTCAGGAGCCGTCTTCCTTGTTTTTTTAAGGCAGGCTCTCTCACTGGCCTGGAGCTCACTAATTCAGCTAGACTTGGCTGGCCACTAAACCCCAAGGATGTCTCTCCACCTTCCCAGAAGAGGGATTATTGGCATCACTAACATGCCCAACTTTTGTACAGATTCTGAGGCATAAACTCGGCTCTGCATGCTTGCAAGGCAAGCCCTTTGCTAACAGAGTGGTCTCCCCAGCCCAGTTTCCTGCCTTTTATAACTGTAAGGTTGTGTGAGAGAATTTTCTTAGTTTTAGTAAAGTGTGATTAAAATAGTTAGACATGAGGAGATGTCATAGTAAACTAAAAAAAAAATCACTTAAAAAAATTACACATGGAGAGTCTCAGAGCCCATGGTCACAGCCTGGATCTGGAGACCAGTATCCAGATCAGGATCTTTTATCTCTGAAAACCAGTCACAATGGCAGACCAGGCCCCACCCACATTCTTAGAGCTGGCAAGACAGAGTGTCCTGAGGGAGGAGGCCTTGGCCATTTGTGCTCTGGAAGACCTGTCCATGGAGCTCATCCCAGCGATGTTTGAGGAGACCTTCACCAGCAGATACACAAAGATCCTGATGCCTTCCTATAGAAGGCCTGATGAAGGACCGCCACCTGGAAATACCAAAGGCCGTGCTTGACTGACAGGATGTGCCGACTATGCAGACAGTAGGCTCCTGGTGCAAACTCAGAGTGCTCTATTTGAGGAATGTGCACCATGACTTCTGGAGCACATGGGGGGTGTGCCATGACTGCTCACTGCAAGTCATGACACAGAAGCAGCCAGTGGGGACCCGTCCTGACTCTGCAGTGAAACACTATTTGAAAGTGCCTGAAGAAGCCTTGGGAGGCTCTATCCATCACTTACTGCCACCTCTCACAGTCAGACTCGGATTACCTGCCCTGTTGCCCGAACATATGTGAGCTCAAACATTTGAACCTGAGTGCTTTATTTATATGTGATTTCTTTCTCAAGCCTCTTGGGCTTCTCCTTGAGAGAGTTAGACATTCCCTGCAGTCCCTGAGATTGGAGTGGTTTAGGATGGAAGACCCTCAGTTCAGTGCCCTCCTGCCTGCCCTGGGCCAAGGCTCCCAGCTCACCAACATCATCATCTGTGGCAACACACTCTCTCTGCCCGTCCTGAAACAACTCCTATACCACACAGCCAAGCTGAGCCAGATAACCCAGGAGCTTTACCCTGCCCCTCTGGAGTACTACAATGATGTGAGTACACTACTAATAGACAGATTTGACCAACTTTGTCCTGAGATATTAGATACACTCAGGGACAAAAGGCAGCCCAAGAGAGTCTGTTTTAATAGAAGCCAATTTTGTTACTGTTCTGGGTGCTTTGTCTATGACCTAGCAACCCAAGGTTGTTTGTTGTTGTTGTTGTTTTGTTTTGTTTTGTTTTGTTTTTTTGTTTTTTTCCTAGCTCCGAGTAAGATTGATGCTGGAATTGAGAGAAATGGAAGCCTAGTACTGGGTCGATGAAAAGGAATTATGAGTGAATGTACAATGGACATCAGCCTGGGTATGTCAAGCACCTCCATGCCTGAGACACACTGGAAAGGCAGGGTCCTCTCCTGATCTGGTGAACAGATGCTGCCTCTGTGAAGAAAGCATCAACCTCCATTTCCTTCTCTACGATTATTGCCAGGACTGTTGCAATAAAAACACCCTTCCATGAGTAGATTGTCTTCCTTCTGTCAACTGCTTATAATAAATGTGCTGAGTTTCTGTGTTAAAAAAAAATTACATATCTTTGAACCATGCAAGGTTCACTGCTATGCCCCCAGGGCTTAAGAAGCAGAGGCAAGAAGATGGGCATGACAAAAAGCCTAGAGATGACACCGTCTCAAAAAAATAAAATTTAAATACAAGAAACATTACCTGTATCATGATTTAAAAAAAAAATAAAAAGAGGCAAACTTTTAGCATGGTAGAGAAAGAATATATAGCAAGTTTTGTACTCTTCTAACTTTTCTGTAATTCTGAAGTTATTTCAAAATATTTTCAGTTTTTAAACTGTTCTAGAAGATATCCATAACAGTTATCCAGGTGAAACTCCAATGATGGGGTATCGTTGTAAAATTCTTCTATTAATTCCATTATTTTTCCTCCAAGAAGGCTAAAGTTAGATTATGTTTCAGATAAGCATATAGCTCAGAATTGAAAAACAAAAACCAGCACAAATCCGAAATCTAGATGAGCCCCGTCCCCAACCTCTGCTACCATACCTATGACCTGAGTACACTGGTCTGGTTCCCACCTGGGACCCAGGGCTCTACTAGGACCCACACAGAAGGTCTGCCCACAAGCTCCATTGCAGCTGTGAAAATGGATTCCCAGCGGGTGCTTTCGCTACCCTGGCTGCACCCCTGCACAGCACCTCAGAATTCTTGTTCATATGAGAAGTACTCCCTTTTTAACTCTAGAAACACAGGCAAGCAACTTCGGGATACGAAGCATCCAGTGCCTGCAGAGAAAAGTATGAGTTGAAAGATCAGCATGTCTGGTCGTTTAAGCAAGAGAGAAAGACGTGCTAACGGCACCATATTCCAGAAACGTATATTGTATGTTACGAGTGAGCATGGGGTGCCCCTTCCAACAGAGGGACGCCATAAATATCTACACTTACAGGAGTAAGCAGAACTGCATGTGTGGGCAGATGTAACGATTACCAGCATTACCTCCCTAGCACACCGACAGTTCAAGCAGCCAAGGCTCTCTGCGAGGCAGAGCTCCTGCAGCGACTACTCAGGAGGGAATACAGCACAGCACGCCCGGGCTCCCAGCCTGCCTCAGATCCGCTCCCTTCCGCATACATCAAAGAACGCCGCCTTCGAGAGCCATCAGGTGAAGGCAGTTTGTTACCGCATTAGGAGCAGTGGTTTTTCTGCTCTCCCTTCCTTATTACCTTACACGGTATGATAATGTTCACTTGATTCTCCATCCGTGACAGCTGTAAATCAACAGCCCCTTGTGCACAGACCAGGCTTCTGAACACTCAAAAGCTCCTACTCACGCACACCACCACCACCACCACCACACAAATGCACACGTGCCAGGGGACAAGGCCAAGTCTCTCCCATCAATTTGTAAGCTTGTTGCCATAGAGACCGGTTCAAGGGTGCACGTGTGGATGAGCAGCGCCACCTAGGGGAACAGTGGTGACTATGCAGCCTTTAACCGTTAAGACCGTGAATGGGAAGAAAACTGGTAGGTGGGTTGGCTTGGCTTGGCTTGGGTTTGGGTTTGCGTTTGCCATTTGCGTTTGTGCGTCCGCGTTTGGTTTGGCTTGGCTCGGCTAGCCACCTAGCACACCGCCTTATTGTTCTAGAGATCTGCCCGCCCACATCAACTTCTTCAAAGCTTTTTCTTCCCACCGACAGACTCAGAGGACGACATCAAACAGCAACCCATCTCCTTCTCTGAGTGTTCCGCCTGACTACTTCATTTGTGGCTTTTAAGTAAGCCAGGAATCACGGCACGCGGCGCCTTGGGTATTGCGTGCAGTGGTATTAGCAAGCAACACTCTGAGGACCAGAAGTAAATGAGTCTTCCCATGCCGTTGGTTCATTTATTGAGCCAATATGAACTGTTTCGTGTCAGTTAAATTCGTTAGTGATAAACTCACAGCCATCCATACGTGTCAGTGTCGCATTAAGGAAGTTTGGCCAGGAGTCCAGATCTGAGGTTTCCACTCCTTTCCCTATGTCTTCCATGTCCAGTTTGTCATTTCTGCCCTATCTGTAGTCACGTCAAATGAATCTGAAGCAATGCCTGCATGTGGGATGTCTTGTGAACCTGGCTTGTCTGTCAATCCGTAGCGAAGGCCTCTGCTCTCTGCTAATTTCAACAGCGCAGGAGGCAGCACGTGAGAAAGGAGTGTGGGGTAGTTTATAAAAATTTTTAGCCGTCTATTCCTTTTTGGTGTGTCTGCCTCTTCTTTTTCTAGGGTTTTTAAGTGGGCCATTAAGTTGCTTGAATGAGCTGTCTCGAATTTCTTCTTGAAGGCACTTAGTGCTATGAACTTTCCTCTTAGCACTGCTTTCATTGTGTCCCATAAGTTTGGGGATGTTGTGTCTTCATTTTCATTGAGTTCTAGGAAGACTTTAATTTCTTTCTTTATTTCTTCCCTGACCCAGCTGTCATTTAGTAACAAGTTGTTCAGTTTCCATGTGTGTGTAGGCTTTTTGCTATTTCTGTTGTTGTTGAAGTCCAGCTTTATTCCATGGTGATCAGACAAGATACAAGGGATTATTTCAGTCTTCTTGTATCTGTTGAGGCTTGCTTTGTGACCAACTATATGGTCTATTTTGGAGAAGGTTCATGAGGTGCTGAGAAGAAGGTAAATTCTTTTGTGTTTGGGTGTAAAGTTCTGTAAATGTCTGTGAGGTCCATTTGATTCATGACCTCTGTCAGAGATATTGTTTCTTTGTTTAATTTCTGTTTTGTTGACCTGTCCTTTGTTGAGAGTGGGGTGTTGAAGTCTCCCACTATTAATGTGTGGGGATCTATATGTGGTTTAAATTTTATCAATGTTTCTTTTACAAATGTGGGTGCTCTTGTATTTGGGGCATAGATGTTCAGGATTGTGATGTCTTCCTGGTGGAATTTTCCCTTGATGAGTATGAAGTGTCCTTCCCCATCTCACCTCATTAGCCATTAGGGAAATGCAAATCAAAACAACCCTGAGATTTCACCTTACACCCATCAGAATGGCCAAGATGAAAAACTCAAGGGACAACACATGCTGGAGAGGTTGTGGAGAAAGGGGAACCCTCCTCCACTGCTGGTGGGAATGTAAACTGGTACAACCACTCTGGAAATCAATCTGGTGCTTTCTCAGACAACTAGGAATAGCGCTTCCTCAAGATCCAGCCATACCATTCCTAGGCATATACCCAAAAGAGGCTCAAGTACACAAAAAGGACATTTGCTCAACCATGTTTGTAGCAGCTTTATTTGTAATATCCAGAAGCTGGAAACAGCCCAGATGCCCCTCAACTGAAGAATGGATGCAGAAACTGTGGTACATATATACAATGGAGTATTACTCAGCAATGAAAAATAAGGAAATCAAGAAATTTGCAGGTAAATGATGGGACCTGGAAAGGATCATCCTGAGTGAGTTGTCCCAGAAGCAAAAAGACACGCATGGGATATACTCACTCATATAAACATACAACATAGAATAAACCCACTAGAATCTGTACATCTAAACAAACTAAGCAAAAGAGAGGACCCTAACTAAAATGTTCAATCCCCATCCTGAAAGGCAAAGAGGATGGACATCAGAAGAAAAAGAAAATAGGAAACAACCTCGGAACCTGCTACAGAGGGCCTCTGAAAGCCAGAAGAAAACAGGAAACAACCTTGAAACCTGCCACAGAGGGCCTCTGAAAGCCTCTGCAGTATAGACTGTCAAAGCAGATGCTGAGCCTGATGGCCAACTGATGGGCAGAGTGAATGGAATTTTATGTAAGAAGTGGGAAATAGTAAGAGCTGGAGGGGACGGGAACTCCACAAGGAGAGCAACAGAACAAGATAATTTGAACAAAGGGGTCTTCCCAGAGACTCATACTCCAACCAAGGACTATTCATGGAGATAACCTAGAACCCCTGCACAGATGTAGCCCATGGCAGTTCAGTGTCCAAGTGGGTTACATAGTAATGGGAAGAGGGACTGCCTCTGACATAATCTGATTGGCCTGCTGGTTGATCACCTCCCCCTGAGGGGGGAGCAGCCTTACCAGGCCACAGTAGAGGACAATGCAGCCACTTTTGATGAGAACTGATAGACTAAGATCAGAAAGGAGAGGAGAACCTCCCCTATCAGTGGACTTGGGGAGTGGCATGCATGCAGAAAGGGGAGGGAGGGTGGGATCGGGAGGAAAGGAAGGAGGGGCTTATGGGGGGATACAAAATGAATAAAGTGTAATTAATAATAAAATAATAATTAATTAATTAATTAATTAATTAATTAAATGATTTTTAGCAGGGTGGGCCTGAAACCAGCCTGTACTCAGGGTCTTCAGCAGCCCATGCTGCATCAAATCCACTTATGTGCCCAGCTGAGACTCACACACAGAAAGGCTTTGTCTACCAGTCCAATAAGGGGTCACTGCCGAGTCCAGGCCACTACTGTTCTGCCTGTCACTAAGCAGTGGCCACTTGTGATACAAAGCACGGAGGAAAACCTTTGGTGAGCATTTTCAAGTGATACTACATCCACCAAGGTCTACTACTTTAAAGGGGCTGGCCTATTTGAGGCACGTGGTATAGAAAATGAAAACACAGACTTCTGGCTCCAGAAACAGACATGTCAATGGGGAACAGAAACAATGCAGTAAGTAGAAGTAAGGGCGGCCTAGAAGAGCTATCTATTTTATGATTCTTGAGGTTTTTTGGACGTATGGAAGGGTCTAGGATATAACCCACCATTGGCTATAGCCATCTTTCTGCAGCAAAACAAGAGCCAACCGAAGTAAAGACATATTACTTCCGGTGGGAATTCACTACCAAAGGAGTTTTAACAATAAAAGCAAAGCTTCCATTCCAAACTCTCCCAAAATAGTGTCACCAGCTAGGGACCAAGTGTTCAGACACAGGAGCCTATGGGGAGACATTTCATACCCAAATGGTAACAGGCTGGGCATAAGGAACCAGATGAGGGCCCCAGCCACCACTAGGGGCAGTGTGTTTGAAAAATATGAGCCCTGATTCCCCTCCCTCCCTTGTGCACATTCCCACCCCTTCCTCAGAATGTTTAGCTACAGGAAGCCTTCAGAGACTGCCTAACTTCTGGCTACATTGTGTGGACTCCAAGAGAGCTTCGGGTACCTTCTCTCAGAACGATAGACCTGAAAATCCTTACGTTCAAATAAGATCTTTTAGGGATCATTCATGCTATGTCTAAGCACTGTCCATTGGAGCATCCATTACCCTTTCAACTGCAGCCACAACCACAATTACCACTAAGAGCCACGGCTTCCTTAGAAGTTGAGGTCTGCTGGCCTTCAGCCTACTGTTCACCTGGCACTGGCTGTGCCAAACTCTGAGGCCCTGCCCTTGGTCTGGGCCACTCTGGGGACGCCCCAGCACCCTCACTCTCCCTGGACTTCTTGTTCCACTTGTCTGCTGCAACAGCACCAAGCCCCACTGTCAGGACATCACCCCAGCCTCTCTCAGGGGCAGAGGTCGTACCTCAGTGGGGCTGGCCCCTCTAAAGAGAATGCTCCCCGCAGTTTGTCCTCCCTCAGTTCCCCTTCCTACACACACCCGCAGTGAGGCCTCTGCAACATGTGAGTTATTGCTCTGCTACCCCGTGGTACACATCAGGATGGATGGCCCATCAACACAGCAAGAGGAGAGCTTTGTGCCTAGAGTATGGCTTCCCTCCAAACCCATCCCAGGCTTCTGGTCCATTCCCTGCAGCAGAGGAACACTGGAAGAAAAGATGGAACCCTCACAGAGACTGAAAGACAAAAAGCATGGGAAGAAAACAGACCTCAAGTCTCCACTCCCACCTGCACCAGGTGGC